TCTCCCAGAGATTTTCATGCATGGCAGAGTTTGAGCATCACAGGTTTTCTTTGTGCACTATCCTAGACAAGATGGAACAGTCTTTAATCTCCAACATCCATCACTTGTAGAGAACCTAATGTCCTTCCTGTGGGGGAGCTTTGGGGCTCTTTCTGAGTACTCTTCCTCTGCTTCACCCCATCTGCCTGCCTACACATTTCCCTCACTGTTCCATGAGCTCCCTGGGGGTGTCCTGTGCTTCCCACTACACCCCGCCCTGTACCCCTCTTTGTGCTCAGCACCTCAGACTGAGTGTGGCATTTCAGTATGCACTCGGGAGATGTTGAAGATCAATGAATCAATTAGTTTATCAATAGGCTGCCAATAGCCAAATAAAGAAGTGTGAGTATAGGGGAGGAAACAAATGTCACACATACTAAGGAGGGAGGACAAGGACTTAGCAGAGGTGGTTAAGAAATTGGGCAAAGGCAGTACTTAGTGTGGGACTGAGAAAGAAAGCAGAGAGGGCCACATTTACAAATTCAGCCACTGTAGTTGAGCACACTGTCTTATCTCTTGACGGAAGAGGGTTTCCACTTGTCTGGACTACAGTCAATGACAAGAGCTGTTCTTAAACTAATCTATCACAGTGGTTAAGAGCAAGAGCTCAGCATGGCCTGGTTCTGAATCCTGGTTTCATTGCTGACTAGCTGCGTGGTCTGGACGAGGTTTGAGCATCCGAGTCCATTTGCTCCTCTATGCAATGATGGTAGTGCCTCCACCATGGGGCTGAGTGTGGCTCTGTGAGTTGATGCACACAAAGTGCACAGCACAGGTCCCGCTCGGATGCAGCCTGTGGGAACGGTCAGCCACTGCTGCTGTCACCGTGGTGTCTGTTTGGGGCACTGTGGGGAAACCAAAACCCTTGGATTCTGCCTCCATGCTACTGCCTATATCTCCTCCCCCCAATATAAGAAGATCTCCGTATATTTCTTTTTACTTGCTGCTACAAGAGATTTGCTTACAGCTCTACACGTGTACTTGTGCCTAAGGCTTACTGCCTTAATTTGGTCTTTGCTTCATTTTTCAAGTTTATATAATTATGTTCTCAGCTCCAGGTTTTTTTGTTTGGTTTTAGTTTGTTTTCTCAGATGCCCTTGTGAACAGTGCGTGGAGTGGGGAACTCGCCCACAGCCCCTCTTCCAGGGAGTGACAGTAACAAAGACATGGGACTGTCTCCTGCTTGTCTCCAACAGCCACTCCTGTTCTTTTGTCTTTCTGAGACTTGTGTCCAGGAGGGGTTTGCTTTCATCTTTAATTTTTTAAACCAGGTGATCTCACCGTTGAAAGAGCCCCACTGGACAGCTTGCCAGATGGTGTCGTTGTGTGTTTTGTCCAAGTTTGTGTGTGATGGAAATGAGCACTAGACCAGGAATTAAGATGCAGTAGACAGAGTCCAGCCCAACAACCTATTGGAAAGGAGAGAGGACTCATCCAAAGATGGCATGAGGACTTAGTAGCCCAATCAAGTTTCAAATCTTAGGGCTTGATGTTCATGGTGCTATGAGAAGCATGGTGATTTCTAGTCTTGTTCATAGGGATTACTACGGAAGAGCAAAAAGAGGTTGAACGATATGTGTCCGAATGAAAGCTCTGCCACTTACTGAGTATTACCTTAAACAAGCCATTAAAATTTTTGACCCTTGGTATTTTTATCCATAAAGAGAAAGTAATATTTTTTACTTGATAGGGTTGTGGTGAGAATTAAATGACTTACTGTGAGATTTGAATAAGATTATATGTGTAATGCACCTTTCATAGCATTGTCATATACCTGATGATAATAAATAGCTATTACTGTTATTTTTATTAGCACTCATAGAGACTCCTTAAGTCTATGGTGTATTATGACTTGTGCTTGGCCTGGGTCTGAATCTCAGCTCTGCCACTAAATAACTAAGGGATCATAGACAAGTGGCATAGCCTTTCTTTTCAGATTCCTCTTCTGTCAAATGGAAACAAAAACTTTTTATTTGCTCTTGGAATTATAACAAGGCTTAATAAAATTATGATTGTTAAATAACCCCCTGCCCCTCTAAACATTCTTTAAAAATAAATGCTAGTTAGGTAGATACTGATATTCAACCCTCAGTAATGGTTGCCCAGACTTAGCCTTCTCTGGTACTCATATTGTATGAGGTTGTTTTATTTTGTGCAGCAAAAGAGCAAATGCTGGTTCTACAGTGCATGTTAAGCCAACAAAATATATCCACAGGTGTATTTCCATTGTCAGAAACTATGGAGAGGGAGAAAAATATTAACAGCGCCTTCATAATAGTTATCCCCCAAGAGTTGACAAAGGTGACTTATAAACAAGGGTGTTATTGCTTCTGCTGGCAGAGGCTCTCCTGCCCCTCTGTGTCTCCTCCAGGGCATGTGACAGGCTGAAGTTCATCCCAGCTCATGACCCTCCATTATTGCTAATGGTGAGAACTGACTGGACTAGGTAAACGAAAATGTGATTATTCCATTTTTTAAGAAAAGTATGTCCCACGGTCATATCTCCCGTGGGGGCCCCTTACATTCATTTTTTAATGAAATACTTGGGCAGAGAAATTGCTTCTCTGCACACTCCTTTTTGTTTCTCCAGCATGGTGAAATAAATGGTTTCGGGTCTGAAGGCATAATTTACTGACTTCATTTAAATTGGGCTGGAGGTGATGCTATTTACACAGCTGGTTTTGTGCTGTGCCTACCCGCCTACTCCTTGCCATATCACAGAAGGTGTACTCCAAGTCTCCAACTCCCAGCTTCCTTATTAAGAACAGTGAGTCTCTTCTAACCTTGTTGGTTTAAACATGTGTGAATAGAATGAAAGCAGAAATGGTCGGTGAGACTGAGTTGGAAAAAAAAAAATCAATGAATCTGGACTCAGAACACTGGAGTTTGAATACTGAATATGATTAAAGTTCCAAAGAATAATCACTGGGACCCTCTCAGTTCATTCATTCTTCTTTATTCATTTGTCCAAGGAATAACTATTGAAGCAGACATCCTTCCAGATACTGGGGATATGTCAGTGAGCAAGAAAAGCAAAGCCTCTGCTTTCTGGATCCTGCCCTAAGATGGGGCACAACCAACAGCCCTCAAGTCGATAAATATAAGGTCAAGTCTGTAAAATATGTTTCGAAAGAGATAAACTAGGTAATAGGTGAGAATGACATCAGACATGACTTTAGTTGAAGGGGCCAGCATACTGCTTTTAGAGGAGGAAACATTTGGGCTGAGACATGAAGGATGCCAATGAGTCAGAAACAGGATGAGCTGCTAAAGCGAGCATCCTGGCAGGAGCGACAGCAGATGGAAAGTCCTGGGAGTGATGAAGCCACTGAAATGCAGTTGACCAGAAAGAGGTCAGGATGCTGAGCTCTGGGGAGAAGTTTTGCACAGCTAAGCAGGAGCTGGAACATCTAGTCATTTGTAGACCGTGCTAAGCAGACTGGAGTTTCTAGAGTGATTCTCAAACATGGCTGTGTTCTGGAACACTTGGAGTATTAAAAAATATGTGGTTCCTCCATCAGGCATTCTGATTTAATTGGTCTGGCTTAGGGCCTGGGCATCAGGAGTTTAAATTTCCCAGGATTCTAATGTGCAGCAAAGATTGAAAACCACTGTTGTAGATCAACAGAAATTAACTGAAGGGTTAAGAGAGAAATAGTGATCATGATTAAATTGGAAACATCACTTAGTTATTTTCCTCTTTTTTTTAGCAGTGCATAGTAGATGCTAATCAAAAGGGTAGCACTACTGAAATTTTTTTAAAGCACTTTACATTTTTAAAAACACTTGGCTATTTCATTTCTCTGGGGGAAATGTAATATATATATATATATATATATATATATATATATATATATTTTTTTTTTTTTCCCCTTTTCAAATTTATACAAATTCTTTATTAGGAGGAAAAAAATGAATGAATTTCTTTATGTAAAAAAAAGAGTAGTTATTTCCACAAGCAAAAAAGGTGGAATATACATAACAGGTGAGAGATACCCAGAGCTTGCCACATAAGGCAGTAAGAAAATCCCAACAATTAACAAACACTTATTTTTCGATAACTGATTAATCACAGAACAAATGACTCAATAAAAAGTAAACCTATGCGCATATTTAGATGGAGAAAAATTATATTTCTAACTGACAAGAAAAAAACCACTACCTATTAAATTCTGTACTATTGCTTAAAGAGTAACTATGGAATTCTCATTGCAGTGATTCCTTGCAAAAAAAAGTGGAAATTGAAAATCCAGAGGACCTCTTAAGAATAAGCACCTAATAAACACAGCAGATTTATAACATGTTAAATGTTTCATTCATTTGAATTTTCTCGAGCATGATACAACAATAAATCTGTGTCAGGCTTTCCACATTACTTAAATTCAGTGTTTTTTTCCAGTGAAAGTTTTCACATGACTTTTGAAGTAATTATTAAAATTTAAAAATTTCCTATTTTTTTAAAAACTACTGGGGTTTCAATCCAGTATGCATTCTTATAGGTCCAACTACACTGTGTTGTCATGTGTCTTTGAACGGATAGGAGAGGAATGAAAGCATTTCCACATTCTGTGCATAGATATTTTCTCCAGAATAAGTTCTTTCATGTCCTCAAATGTTACTGGAGCAGAAGGCCTTACCACATTTTTACATTTATAAGGCATTTCTCCAGTGTGAGTCCTTCAATGTTTTCAAAAAATATGAAAAAACTGAAAGCTTTACAACATTTTTAACAGTCGTCGGGTTTTTCTTCCATGTGAGTACTTTCATGTTCTTGAAAGCAACTGGGAAAATTGAATTCTTCACCACTTTATTTACATTAAAAGGGTTTCTCTTCAGTATGACTCCTTACATGTTTCCAAACATTACTAGAAAATTTGAAGCTGTTACCACATTTTTTTACATTTATACATTTTTTTCTCCAATACGAATATTTTTTATGTATTCAAAGAAAACTAGAACATCTAAGGCTTTACCAAATGTCTTACAGTCATAGAATTTCTTTCCAGTACGAGTATTTTTGTGTTTTCTAAGGAAAAAGAAACATTCGAAGGCTTTACCACATCTCTTACATTTATAGGGTTTTTCTCCAATGTGAATTCTTTCATTTATTTGAAAGGAACTGGAAAATCTGAAGGCTTTACCACATTTCTTACATTCAGAGTGTTTTTCTCTACCATAAGCTCTTTCATGTATTCAAATGCAACTGAAATATCCGAATATTTTACCACATTTTTTACATTCATAAAGTTATTTTCCAGTGTGAGTCCCTTCGTGTATTTGAGGAGAACTAGAACGTCCAGTGTCTTCACCACATTTATTAGAATAAATATATGATTTTTTGCCAGTGTGAATTCTTTCAAGTATTCAAAGGGAATTGGGAAATTTAAATGCTTCCTTACATTCCTTACATGCATAGGATTTCTCTCCACTATGACTTCTTCCATGTCTTAAAAGGGAACTGGAAAAACTGAAGCATTTACCTATTTTTTACATTCATATGGTTTTTTTCCAGTGTATGTCTTTTCATGTATTCAATAACCACTGGAAAAAACTGAATTCTTCAGCACATTTCTTACATTTGTAGGGTTTCTGTCCAGTATGAGTTCTTGCATGTATTCGAAGGAAACTGGAATTACTGAAGCCTTTCTTGCAGTTTTTACATTCATGGGGTTTCTTGCCAGTATGATTTATTTTGTGTATTTGAAGGTAGCTAGAACAGTAAAGCTTTTACCACATTTTTTACATTCATAAGGCTTTTCTCTAGTGTAAGTCATTTCATATATTCAAAGACAACTGGGAAATTTTAATGCTTTCCTACAACCTTTGAATTTATAAGGTACCCCGCCAATGTAAATTATTTTATATATAGAAAATAAACAGAATAAAGCAAAGGCTTGCCCACATACCACACATTTATAAGGTCCATTTCCAGTGTCTGTTACTGTCACCAAAGGAGAGGGTCTGGGGTATGTCAAACCACTGACCTTTTGACCCTGTCCCCTACCAGGTTCTTGACTCCACCACAGGAAATAATTCAAGAGCAGAATCAGAGTAGAAAATGAAAGAAAGTTTAACAGAAAGAGTAAAGAGTACACACTTCACAGGCAAAGTGCAGGCTGACTCAAGAGTGAGTAGGTGCCTTGTTTTTCCCTGGCTTCTACCTTTAATCATTGGCTACCTAACATTTCATTGCTGTCTCTGAATATTTAACTAAGGTGGTGTTCCCAGGTTATGTAACACTTATGTAACTCCTTGTCTGCACATGCTCTACCATGGACACTGATCAATTAAATTTGATCAATGCCTTTTGCTGTCTCAATCTCCCCATGGGTGCTACAAATAGGTGCAACATGCAACAGTAACTCAGGGCCCAGAGGAAGGGCCTGAGACTTTGGTGAGTGGTTTTAGACTCAGTGGAGTGGCCTGAGATCCAGACTCTGGGAAACTGAGCATCTCCTATCTCATTACCATGTGCCTTTGAACATTTGTGACAGAAACAAAGGTTTTCCTACATTGTTTACATTTATATGCCTTCTCTCCATATTTCTCACATTTATATTGTTTTTGCCCAGTGTAGGAAATGATACACATACGAGGGGATGAATGACATATGAAGATTTTCCCACACATACTGCATTCACATGGTTTTACTCCAGTAGAAATTTTCTTCAGATTAGAATTTGGAATCTGGCTGAAGGATTCTCCACACTGACAACCTTCTTTCCTTTCACAGAGTCTCTCTACCATGTAACTTCTTAGATTTCTCTCATGATTTCTGTACTGATCTTCATTGTCCTGGTCTTCCCATTTGTTTCTTGTAGAAGCCAGGTTTCTGAAGGTTTTCCACATCACATCTCTGTAGAGTTTCTTTTGGGAAGGATCTAGCAAAGGCCCCTTCTGAGTGAAGTTCACAGGCACATCCTCAAATGCCATCGAGTCCATTTCCCAGCTTCTGGGGTATCCCAACATCCTCCCTGAGGATCTCCCAATACCTGTGGGTCACAGGGAAACAGAGACTGCAGCAGTCACCTAGGACTCCTAGAGCAGAGGACATGGAGCTATTGGAAATATACATCTTTAATGGATCAAAAGTCTACTTGACACTCAAATTATTTTCCTAGCTGAAGTCAAATGTATTGGTCTGAATATATCATTCCCACATCAGTTTGGGTCATAAAAGGTTCTATGTATCCATTGGCTTGTCAGGAAGCCTGTGAATGCTTACAGTGGAGGTAGCAAAGCTTTCTTTTGATTCTCCTGGTGGGTGGGGCTCTCACAGAGACACCAGGAGAACATGTGGGAGACACACCATATTCAGAGAAGAGGGCTGTCCTACAAAGCCAGCCACCTGGATTTCTTTTCAGGCAATTGCATCCCTTTTAAGCCTTAGCATCCTCAATGTACAGTGGGAAAAAGAAAGACAGAATCAAGGTTTCCAAGAGTAACCACTGAGAAACTAAATGAGAGAGTTTTGCACACTACATCAGTGGTTCTCAGACTCAGACAAGCATTCAAATTCCCTGGAGGGCTTGTTAAAATGAATCTCTGTGATCTACCCCCAGAGTATGATTCCACGGGTCTAGAGTAGAGCCTGAATTTGCATTTCTAAAAAGTTCCCACGTGATGCTGTTGCTGCTGGTCCTCAAACCACACTTTGAGAACTGCAGCTTTAAAGTATAGGTGATTATAAAGAATACTTGTTGAATCAAAGAAGGCCACAGGGTTGTGATAGCGCTGATGACTTTTAATTCTCTCTCTCTCTATCACTAACTTCTCAGACCTCTGATTATTATAGACTTTTATTTTTTCCTAATAAAGTTGTCAATGCAAGCTCTGACTGCAGTGACCATGGTCCCCAAGCAGCCTTAGTTTCATGAGCAGACAAGGGACACGACCAGTTATCCTTTGCCTGCAGCTTGCCCTGTTCTGGCCTTCAGAAGTCACACAAAAGCCTTTGGGAAATATCTCTACTTGATGCCTTAGGTCCAGAAGCCAGTAGAATAAAAAGCATGATCTTGCATATCCTAAACCTGAGTGGACATCTTGTCTCTGACATGGAGAGGATGTATGTCATCAGGGGACTTCCACCCTTCTGAACCTCAGTTCTGTTATCTGTAAAATGGAAATATAGCAGCTGTAGACCTCATGATGTTATCATGGTGAGTAGGAGCCCAAGCATAGTTCTGAAATGTAGAAAATGTTATAAAATTCTTATTTCCTTTTTTTCTCTCTCTCCCCCACTTCCTTTTCTGTCTCTTAGTAAAGATATCTATGAGATGAACGTCATAAACCTTCTCCCCAGAAATAAGTAGAAACACACCAATGCTATACAGAATTGAAGGGGTTTTCTATCTCCTGGCATTCTTCCATGAATTCCAGAAGATAAATCTCTGCTCTCTTCCCCTCCTCACCTCTCCTTCTGACCCTCCTACCCTTTGCCTCTCTAACTTCCTCCTGCACTGGTCTTTAATCAGTTCCTCTAATGTGTGGTGCTCTGGAAAGGGACATTTGATAAGGGCCTTGATGAATAGGATTTTGCTAGGGGAACCTAAAGTAGTAAACAAACAATATGTAAAGAAACAAAGGTGAGCAAGTACCTGTAGAAATAGAAAATGGAAAAACAATAAGTGGTGGCAGGAAATGAGGGCGCCTGAGACAGAGAGGTGGGGAATGAAGCCAGACATGTATAATGGGGTGAGATTGTCAAGGGCCCTAAATTACACTTCCCTGTCTAAAGCCCACAAGTGCCTTCTAGGGAAGGTCAGTGAAGATCAGTAAACAAAATAGGACTCAATTAAAACAGAAAGAAGTGGTAAGAACAAAATAGGGCTAGTAAATGCAGTACAAATATACTCAGTTTTAAAATTAAATATCACAAACAATTTTTTAAAAATTAAATTTGGCCCATGGATAGTGGGATGTCTTAGCTCAGGATCCTAGATGTACAGCCTGAGATGAGGAGTCATATGCAAGTGGCTTATTAAGAAGTTCTCCCAGGAGAAGCCAGCATGGGAATGGGGGAAGTGGGACGGGGTGTGATTCCAGGCAGAGCCCATGCAAGGAAGCTCCAGGCTGTTCCTGCAGCAGAGTTGTAGAGTGGAAGTGATGTTTCAGAGTTGTCCTGCCCTGAGGCAAGGGGGCTGTGCTTTCATAAGCCCACACCCACAATCTTTTGCCACTGGTTAAAACCCATAGGTACATTGTGCTTCTTGTGCAAGTAGGTAAAGAGTTCTCAGTCTCCAACTGCAGGTAGCAAAAATACTCTCTTTGAATGTGTCAGTAGCTTGCTCTTTGTCATGGTTGAATATTATTCCAGTATTCCCACTGTATGAATATATGTATTTGTCCCTTTTTCTTTGATGGACACGTGGTTGTTTACAGTTTTGGCTAACATGAATAAAGATGCTGTGGAGCATGCTTGTTCAAGTCTCTTTAAGGACACACGCATGAAACTGCCAGTATCCAAGGGTTAGTACTATTTTACATACTCCCCAGTGACATATCAGACTTCCATTTGCTTCACATTCTATCCAACACCTGGTGTTATCAGACTTCTTAGTCTTAGTCATTCCCTCGGGTATGATGTGTTACCTCACAGGGGTTTTAATTTTGCATTTTAATTGAATTGAGTGTAATGTAACTTTAATTTAATTTTGCATTTCTCTGATGATGAATGATGTTGAATATCTACTCATGTCCTTATTGTCCATTTGTATATCTTCTCTTTGAAGTGCCTATTCAAATATTTTGCTCATTTTTAATTGGATTAATGTTTTATTATTGATTTATAGAAGTTCTTTATATATTCTGTAACAAAATTCTTTGTCAGGCAAACACATTCTAAATATCTTCTCATGTCTATAACTTACCTTTTCATATTATTAATGGTGTCTGTTGAACAGAGGTTTAAATTTTTTATTATGTCCAATTTTCTTTTACAATTGTTTTATTTTATTTTAGTGCTATATGTGTATTGTTTATAAAATTTTGCCTATTTCAAGGTTACGAAGATGTTCTCCTATATTCTCTTCCTGAAGATTGCTTGCTGTTCTTTCTTTTTTTCTCTTTCTTTCTTCATCTCTCTCTCTTCTTTCCTTCTTTCCTTCCTTCCTTAACTTCCTGGCTATGACCTCTAGACAGGATTGAACAGAAAATGTAATAATGGGAATTTACATCTCGATCCTGAGTTTAATGGAAAATTTTCTAACATTTCACCATTTATAGGTTCTTTTCGTCATGTTAAAGGAATTCCCTTTAATTCCTACTTTTCTAAAAGTTCGTTTTTTAAAAAAATCATAAAAGGGAACTAAACTTCATTTAATTTTTCTGTATCTCTTGAAAGAATTATATAATTTTTCTTTTTGAACCATTTAGTGTTGTGAATTAATTTCAATTTTCTAGTACTTAACAATTGTTTTATTCTTCAATAAGTTCTATTTGGTCATAACAGTCTTGAATTCATTTTGCTAGCATGTTATGTACGATCTTTACATCTATGTTCTTAAGCAAGATTGGTCTACAATTTCCTATTTAATTGAATTGCTGGAAACAGAAATGCTTGCATCTTTAAAGTCATTACAAGTATGAAATAAAATGTTCATAGAATCAGGTGTCCTTTGACTGACCTTCTACTATTTTGATGGCTAGACTGCATCTCATAGTAGAATGCTTCAACACAAAGAGAGAACCCAATGCAAAATTGAGTTGATAATAATATATCAATACTGGTTTGTAATTGTAACAAATGTACCATGCTAATGCAAGAGGTTAATAATAGGAGAAACCGTGTGTGTGGCGGGGGGGACTTGGGGGTATGGGAACTAGCTGTACTTTTTACTCAATTTCTCCGTAAACCTAAAACTTCTATAAAAATAATGTCAATTAATTATAAAAAAAATCCCAGAGAGTAGAAAGGTGGTTACCAGAGGCTGAGGGTGGGGTGGGGAGGGAAAAAGGGAAGATATTGTAATTGAAGGGTACAAAGTTTCAGTCACTTGAGGGAATAAGTTTTAGTGATCTATTGTACTGCATGAAGACCGAAGCTAATAATAATGTATTGTATGTTTCAAAATTGCTAAAATAGGTTTTTAACATTCTCACCACAAAAAAAATCATTCGTTGGTGAAATGATGGATATGTTAATTAGCTCAATTGATTCTTTCTATGAAGTATACATAGCTCAAAACATCACATTGTACCCCATAAATATACACAAGTATTATTTGTCAATTAAAAATAAATGAATAAAATTAAAAAATGTTTGATGGCTAGAAATGGAATCTGATTTGAATTTGAAAATTAGTACCATCATTTTTTGTTTTCCTTTGTTGCTGTTGATCTAACTATGGAATTTCCCTTTCCAACAGCTTCAGGAAAATGTGGTACAGATCCTGAGCATGGCTTGGGGGCCACCGAAACACTCATCCACATCTAATCTGGCTTCCACAACATGGTGGCAGGCAAGGAGGTATTCTACTGTAGAAGCCCGGAACCTGAAGAGTACAGAATCCAGTCTAGCTTTGAGACTGACATGCCTATATTATATTGTCTGCTTTAATTCCCTAGGTGTCAAGCTCATTTTCTAACAGCCTGGTCTCAGCTGTGCTTTAGAGGATTTTTATTTTACTCATTTTTAATTTTTTTTTTTTTTTTTTTTTTGGGGCTGGCTGGTACAGGGATCAAACACTGGATTTCGGGGTTATCAGTACTGCACAATAACTAACTGAGCTAACTAGCCAGCCCCACTTTAGGGGATTAAGAGAGAGTCTACTCCTTGGGCTCAGCAGATGCGCAGAGCAGCAGCATGGAGAAGCATTGATGGTCTGTGCAACAGGTGATCTGGGAGGAGAGAGCAGCTGTGCAGAGGGTGGGGAGGCCAGGAACAAGCACAGAGATTGAGATGTGTCAGCTGGCCCAGGGCAGCAGAAAACAGTGGTGTGCTCATTAGGCCTCTGATAGAAAATCCAATT